TTTGGGGGGGGGGGCCAGGCCCCCCCTGGCCCCCCCCTTCCTACGCCACTGCGATCGTGGATATAAAGCATGGATCGAGATATACGTAGATTTTCCGAATAGATAACTATTCGCGCTCCCCTGTAAGTTTCTTGCCTAACCGGGTGAATAGAAGGCGAACTTCAATTCGACGACTCTTATAAATCATGTCACTCTTGGTTCAATCAAATCAAAGCATGGAGCGAGTTTCTTTTTTGTGGTATCCGGTCGGTTTGTTGCCTATCCATCAAAATTGAAGGCAAACGCCAAATGGACGATATTATCTGCGATCGGATCTCTAAAACTGCTCAGCTAAAGCATGGAACAAGATGAATATTCATTTTTCAAACGGGTAAATCATCAATGCTTCCTTTTTGGTTTGTCACCTATAAAGGTAAATCAGAGACGAACTTCAAGACTTGAAGTTCAAGTGGGCGATGTAAGTGAACTTTCCCACTCGAGATGAAACGAAATGATCGCTTCAATCATTTTAGACACCTCTTCTCTTGGCGATGTTCGCATTTACTTCCGAAGTTTCTCCAATTTCGAGGCGTTTTCCTACCATTCTTTCCACGCATCTTTCCGGTTTTCATCCTCACTTAATTACAAGACTAATAAAAACGCATTTTGGTGTCTGTATACATGTGTTGATGGTCATACAACGTATCTCCCTTGCGGTGTTTCAAAATCTCCGCTCCTGTTTTACTTTTCCGTAGAGAGAAAAGCCAACATACAGCGTCTTCTTATCATAATTTCTAATTTAAACAGAAAACTACTCAACGTCAATTCTTGAAAACTTCTGTGTTTTTTAATTTCCGTGGGAAGAAAACTCTGTGAAAATTTCAAAAAATGGTATCGATTTGTTCTCCTTTAAAAAAATAAAATGGGAGCGGAGATTTTTAAACGCCGCAAACGAGATGCGTGGTCCGGTAGTTTCACCGTCGATAGCTTGAAATCTTGAAACTCATACTGGATAATCCTTTAATAGAGAAGAGAAACCAAGAGAGTTTTCACGAAATTACGTTGACTGGTTTTCCAAAGAAAAAATAAAGTATGACGGGGAGTTTTCAGCGTCAAGACGAAGACGCGTGATTCAGGGCCGGATTTAGGGAGTGAGCACATGGGCCGCGGAAAATTTAGGGGGCGGCAAATTTTACAATGTTTTTAAACGTAGGTATAAAAAAATCGGATTCAGAAAAAAAAATTACAAACGAGAAAAGGCGACAAAATCTCTCATTTCCTGAGAGTATAATAATTTCTAATTTCTTCGTCTTTCGGTGATACAAGAGACAGCACCTTTAATTAGGAGGGTTAAGAGAGACACCAAACACGCAATTTGGCCTGGAGCGGCGCGGCGCAGAGAGCAATGCTGACGGGGACTTGATATGAGAGGGAGAAGCCCTCGGCACAGCGGTCGGCATGTAACACATTAGCGCCTACAAGACTGCATGAATACTACAATTACTACACGCATTGCGTCAAACACAGAGCGGTCAGCCTGCAGCGGTCGACGTGAAACGCATGGCGCCTTCAAGACTGCATGAATACTACAATTACTACACGCATTGCGCCAACCACAGTGCGGTCAGCGCGGCGCGACGGCGGAAGTTAAAATTATTAAACCACGTTTATGTTTGTTCTTTCATAATTTTTTCGCTCATTCCTAATAAATGGCAGGCCTTTGAAAGGAAAGAGGGTCAATCTCCTCAAATCTTTTAAATCGATTATAACATTTCCGTCTAATATTTGGACGTATTTCTACCAAACAGACCTATGTGGAGGTGAGAAATGTGGGGTGTGCTCTAGAAATCTGCATAAGAAGCAATGTAAAAGTGGGCGTGATTCCTTTTGAAGAATTGGAAAAGCGGGATATTACATTCTATCAAACGGACCTATGTGCCAACTGAATGCGGGATTCATGAGCCGCGGGAATGGCAAGAGAGCGTTGTGGACAGGGCTCATGAGTTAATGCCCCCCGACGACGACGACGACGACAACGTTGCGCCGGGCGGCTTTTTCATTGCCGCTGACGTCACTGGCGCTTTAATATTCTCATTCACTCTTACGGCCAGAGAACTAACGAGCATACCCCATATTTCTCACCTCCACATACGTCTGTTTGATAGAAATACGTCCATTTGACAAGTGTTTTAACATACTCTTTCAGATTTTTTCCGATCATTTTTCCGAGGCCGAACAGCTAAGTTTTGGACCACCCGTGGCAACTCCCGCCCAATCACCGCGAATAAGCCAGACTCTACTCTGTCGTGCTGGGGAAAAGCGCCGTATGAGCATTCGAATGTTGCCAAATCGCCTCTCAGAAAATATTTTTTTTGGGAACTTTATAAATATTTTTCCTTGAAATTTTCAGACACTTTAGATCAAATTATCAGCGAAACACTCCGAGAAATTCGCAGGAAAATATTTACAAATTTTCCCGAAAATTCGTGATTTGTCGAGAGAGATTTGACAACTCCTGAAGGCCCATACGGCGTTATTCCTTAGCACTTTAGGTCAAATTTTAAGCGAAATCCTCCGCGAAAAATTCGTAGGAAAATAATTACAAATTTTCCCGAAAATTCGTGATTTATCGAGAGAGATTTGACAACTTCCGAAGGCTCATACGGCGTTATTTCTTAGCACTTTAGGTCAAATTATAAGCGAAATCATCCGCCAAAAATTCGTAGGAAAATAATTACAAATTTTCCCGAAAATCGGTGATTTGTCGAGAGAGATTTGACATAACTCCTGAAGGCTCATTCGGCATTTTTCCTCAACACGGTAGTACTGTAATCTAGGAATATTGCTGATTTATAGGAGCACAGAGAACGATACTGTCCGAAGGAAGTTCAATCTCCTGCAGGTGGGTTAAGGACCTCAGCGCACGAGACGATGTCGCAATAGGTGAAGGTAGCTCAAGGCTCCTTTTTGAACTCGGTTACGTCCGATATCTGAGGAGTAAATCGTCGCCCTCCTGACACAGAGGCGTAACTAAACTTCGCGATGAGCCCTGTCGTCCATAAAACTCAATGATTTCCCGGGCTCGTCTCAATGTGTAGTTACGCCCTTATGTCATCAGCCAAGCGACGAAATTAATAATCCACCCGCCACAAAAATTCATACCTGCCTCGTCATTGTCATTAATATGTCTGTCTCTCGGTTAATGGATCAATCGAGTTGCTCCACTCTTCGCGGATGATATTCCTCGACCACTTAGCATTGAGTTTGTCTTCCGTTGCGTTATCGGGCACTGCTTTTCGCGGGGTCAAACCCGAGGATGTAAGTATATAAGTGTATTTTGCGTAACGTGTCTTGCTCAGTACCGCGGAAGAGTGCCCGTTGATAATTTCGCGAGTCCGTCGAGAATTGGTACGCATAGACGCTTGAAAAATCAGATACCTACTCCACGGGAAAAAATGGATTGCTGATTTAACGATTAAATTGTTAACAAAAATATGTCCAACATGTTTCAAAGATATATTTTACAATAGTGGAAAGCTAAATAACCTACTCTAGTACCTCGCTGATTTAACCACGGGGATGGTTAAATTAGCATTATTTATTGTAAAATCTACACTGAAACATGTTGGACACTTTTTTTAACTTCAAAATTGTTACATCAGCAATTTAATTTTTTTCCGTGTCGCCGTATTTTTTAACGATTCTTCTATACGGGGTGTCCCAGGGTTAAACCGCTAGACTGCAGGAACTTGTTCAATCGGTCAAAATGAGACGTTCTCTTTTTTATACCGTTTTTGTCATTCCAAAAGCGCCCTACTCGAAGTAAGCCCCCCCCCCCATTTTTGACATAGTCACCAGTTTTTCAGCATTTTGTCGACGTTTATTTGTGGACGAAAACTCATGAGGTATCATTTTAAGGTCTGAATACTTCCACGGCCTTAAAGTTGACAAAATCTTAAGTTAAAGGGATTTAAAGAGGTTTCACAGGGTCGTGGATTCTTAAGGTCAAAACTCTGGATATTTTAGTCGGTGAGCAAACTACTTTTTAGGCATTTGGGTGTGAAAGAATCTAAAGGCCTATTCCATATAATTTTTTCTCTCCGGGGCTTGGTTTCTTAAAATTTTTGTTTGAGTGGCATTTAAAAAACTCATTATTTTACCTTAAAACATCAAGGATCCATCGAAACCTCCTACAGTCCCCCTCTAACTTAAGAGTTTGATAGTTTTGAGGGCAAGAATGAATTAGGTAAGCGCATGCATTTTTGACGAATTTCGGTCTATAAGCAGCGCCAGAATTTTTAAAAAAAAATACGATTTTCTCATTAATTTAAGATAGGGATCAGAAGCTTGTTAAATACAATTTTTAAAGGAGAAAATTCTTATCTTATCCGATAGAACACGACTTTGCAGTCTGACGATGTAACTCTAGTAGACGATGTAACTCTAGTAGATTATGTATAACTCTACATCCTGCATTCCATCTTATCAAAATATCCCCTTGAAATGGTAATTATTTTTGAATGAGTGAAGAGAATTCACAGAATATTTTGAGAAAATAGTTGTGGCTTTTTCCTTCATTTTTCCATGGAAAGCAGTCACGATCAAATGTACAATTTTTTTACAATCAGCCATCTATATGAGGGATGTAAACAGCTTCGATTTAATTGAATGTCTGTATTAGCGTCTTACTAGCTTAGCGAAATATCTAACGCGTGATCAGCCTCATGACTAAGATTACTCTGACGTTTAAAACCCTGAAAAAAAAATCTGAATAGCATTCAAAACTTAAAAAGTATCTAAATTTTAGAAACGATGGCGGGTGATTTGCGCGTTGCAGTATGTGTAATTTTAATTTTTGTGCTATCAATCAGTAATAAAGTTGAATCAAAAGACTGGTTCGAAAACACAGTTATCTATCAGATCTATCCTCGATCCTTCAAAGACTCAGATGGCGATGGAACAGGAGACTTGCGAGGTAGGAAAACTCTTTGTTCAAAGTCTACTTTCTACCACTGTTTCACCCAGTTATACTTACCCAAGTTTTTCGTTGTAGATAATAAGATCGTCTTCGATCGTAAAAATCCTAGTTATCTTTATTGCTCTTCCTGATTCATGCAATGCCTACTGCAATAACCAAAAAAGACGCGAAAGCTTGGTTTTTTACGTGTATTTTAAACATTTGAGAGAAAAATTAACTTTCAAAAAGGGGGTGAACCCCCGTAAAAAATTATATGTGTACAGGTTTTTACAGGACGTCATCCAAATTGTAAGTATATCTAGTTAGAATTCATTTGATCATATGTTAACATATGTCGTCTCTAAAATGAACCAAAAGAGTTGGGTCCCATTTGTGTAATGCAATCACTTAGGTAAAAAATCGCCATTGAACACCAGCTGGGTTCTTTTCAACGAGTTCCAAGTACCTATTAAAGTCAAGTCTCTCTCGTGAAGGAATTGAAATTTCATTCATCGTTTCACTGAAAAAAATTTAAGCTCAAATATTAGGCGTGATATTATTTCCAGTAATTTTTAACGTACGCTCTCGCGTGTCTATTTCTGAGAACATTCCAGCTATCGCATCACCAGATCAAGGACGAAGTACCTATGAAATTGACAATAAAATGAGAGCTTAATGGGAAACTGCCTTTGCAGAATTAGGTCGGAGTGACATTAAGTACGAAGATTTGGATTTTTAGCATACCTAGAGAAAAAGAAGGAGGTGTTTGCATTTCGGGCATCTTGGAATTTTTTTGATGACGTAGGTCGGTACGGCGACTCTTATCATCGATTTTCTTGGAGATGGTGTAGTTTATCGAAAAAATGCATTCTACATAAAGTGTTTGAAATTATATTATGAGTTTATTTAAGCAAAAAAATGGGACATTATGGTCCGTTTTTCATACTTCGAATTCCGGATTTCGCTGACCAGGTTGTACCGACCTACGTCACAGGGTACACAATCCTCAAGATGCAAACAACTTCTTTTTTTTCTCTATGGAGTTTTAGCGCTGAGCGAGAACTGCCGAGTAAAAGCCCGCTCAAGGCTCAAGGCTACATCAGAACAATAAATGTCAACTGGATAAGAACATTTTGCGGTCTGCTTGCTCCGCAGGAAGTGAGGTACAGTCAAACACACTAAAATGGCAGATAATTAAATATTGCGAGGCTGGACACGCTTAACAAACATAGACGTGAGTAAAGCACTGTGTCTGTGGTGAAACGAAAGGCAAACAAAAATATCTCGATTGCAAGTCTTGAAATTTCCGTTCCCACTCTATTTTCGTACAAAAAATCCAAATGATGTTTTTAAATTTAAAAAAATTTAAGAGCATTTTTCATAATGGTTGCAGAGAAATTATAAGTGGTTCTACGAATTAAAATTAATTCCTTTTGATGCACGAACATAAAATGCGCGAAGAGTTTTTTTTTTTTTTTTTTTTTTTTTTTTTTTTTTTTTTTNAATTTTTTTTTTTTTTTTGGGGGGGTTGTGTTTTGTTCTTTTTTCTTCACCGCAAGAATCTGTAAAATAGGCAAAATATACATACGAATTTCCCTAAGAAACGAACTTTAAGAAAGTCTTTTAGCACTTTTGGCTTCATTTATTGTGACAAGGTTTTAAAGGTCTTTCATGAACTTCGAATTCGAAGGTGCAGCAATGGAAATGAATGGATGGATGACTTATTTGGACCTTTCAAGTACATAATTAGTTGCAAGTGCAACTCTTCATACGGGAAATCAATAAAGCCACAAATAATCGAGCAACCGATTAATGTTTTCTTCTTTTTTCTGAGATAGTAAAAAAAATTGAGCCAACAAAAGATACTTTTTGAGTTTGCCACGCCAAAAGGAATTCTATTTTTCGACTAGGGCTATAAAGGGACCAAGTTGCCCGGAATTTAAACCTTCTGACCCATCATGGTGGCGCCTTAGTGCGACTATTCGCACTTAATGGTCGTCCACATTGCAGACCCAGAGAGTTGAAGGCGTTCCAAATTTCGTAGACGTTGACGAAATTTCGTCGAAAAGCACGAAGAAAAAGGAGCCAGAGACAGCCCCCCCCCCCCCNGAGCCGGAATACGATACCTTCTTTTTCCTGAGAATGCGGAAGGAAACGATGTTTGATGTTCTTCTAATTCCGTGCCCTAGCACGGATAATTTGGAGCTGAAAATTGAAGGGGTCTCTTTTTCTTTTTGGTTTTGTGAAGAAAGTTGCCACTAATAAAAAGATATTTGGTCAGTGAATCTTTTCGTTACTTTTCTAGGAATCCTGGAAAAACTGGACTACTTGCACGACGTTGGGTTCGACACTTTGTGGATTCAGCCTTTCTTCAAATCACCAATGGTCGATTTTGGATATGATATCACCGACTATAGAAAAATAGAGCCAATTTTTGGAACCATGGAGGATCTCAGAGATTTAATCGATGCTATCCATTTCAAAGGTACACACGTCTCATGCTGCTAATTATTTACTTTTTTTAAAGATAAATATGAACGATTATGACGAAATAATTAGGTCGTTCAATTTCTGGCTTTAAATTATCCAAATAATTAATTTTCGTTCATCGCGAGAACCTCGCACAAATTTATAAACAAAATTTTTTTTAACTTCTGAGGACACATTTTTCTTAAATTTCCCCTCTCGTACCTTCCATGGCCCTAGGTTGTAGCAAGAAGGCAAAATTTCATAAAAGTAAAATATTAAAATTGCAGAAATTTATGAAAGAATCTGAAATAAAACGGCTCCTTTCCATGTTTCGCAAGATGGAAAAATTGTAAATTTCTACTATTTTTGTGTATTCGAGTGCGGGTTGCATTATCTGACCCCTGAAAAATATGAAATATTTCACAGCCTCGTGTTTCATGACATATTTCACTGAAATTTCCAATCTTTCATTCGTACGTTTCGCCTCACCCTGGGTTGCAGCATAAGCTCTAAGCTTAATATGAAAGTAACTTTGTCTCCTAGCTTGATCATGGCTATTACTAAACTTTTTTTTGTAAAGGGTACACCAAGAACCCAACCCTTTTTTATCTCAAAAATCGGCAACATTTTGGACAAAAATTGCACAGTCATACACTCGTAAAAAATGGCATTGTTCGAGTCAATTATGCAACCACGTAATGAAGTTACGTTCTCTGCGGGTCGATTGTTGAATCGTTATTGAATGACCTTGATCGATATATAGCATTGTGAAGATAGGGAGTTATCGATCGAATTCATTCGATAAACGATTCAACAATCGAGGCGCAGGACTGATATTCGACCAAATTTGTAGTATTATTCTATGAGAGTGGTTCTATGAGAGGCTGCAATCGAGATACACTCGTCCTTGTCAGTGGCGCGGCGTGAATTTCGATTAATCGATCGTTATGTTATTTAAACCTATGGTAAAGAATCGATTATTAACGTGTTCGCTGCGAACACCCTGTCTATCGATCTTTTTCTATAGGTTTTAATGGCATAACAATCGATATATCGCAATTCACGCCACGCCACTCGTCCTTGTATTAGTTTCACCGTCGATATTTTCTTTAAGGTATGCGTGTGATTATCGACTTCATTCCCAATCACACGAGTGACGAAAGCGAATGGTTCAAGAAATCTGTGAACAAAGAAGACCCCTACACGAATTTCTACATATGGAAAGACTCCAAGGAACGTGAACCAGGAGCCCCGCCGGTGCCCCCTAACAACTGGGTGAGTAAATATCGATAAACCTTGATATTATTTTAATGAGGATTGGAATTTCGAGATGCTTTTCTGTGAGGTTTTGGCGGAGAAAGATAATATTGTAGTCCTCTAATACTCACCCTGTCTAACGGTCGATTGAGATGTACTGCCGTGCTAAGGAAAAACGCCGTTTGAACATTCGAGAGTTGCCAAATTTCCTTCGATAAAATGTTTATTTTTGAGGAAAGTTATGAATGTTTTACCTTGAAAGTATTAGAAACTTCGGGTGATATTTTGAACAAAATTATGTGAAAAATTGGAAGAAATATATTGACGAATTTTCCAGAGAATTCGTGATTTACCAAAGGAAATGGCAACGCCTGAAGGTTTATACGGCGTTCTTCCTTAGCACGGCAGTTTAGTAGGGACTTGATTATCCGCGATTATTTATGGGGTTTCTCGGGGGGTTTTTTTTTTTCTTGATACGGTGAGTGGAAAAAATGTTGGAGGTCAACCTATTTACTTTAGGAAAAACTCTCTTTCCATTTGTAAGTTTCCTACTGAATGCTTAATTAATACATTTTTTTGTCTAGTATAAGGATTACATTTTGCATTAAGGAACTACTATCTCTGGCTCCTCTGTAAAAGAACCTTTCTGCATAGGGAAATTAATCGCATATATGTTGTTTCTAAAATGAGCCAGAAATAGTGGTTTCTTATTGCAAAATGCAAAATGTGGTCCATATATATTTGACAAGTGTTTAATAGTGTATTTAAAAATACAACATTTTCGATCACGTTTTCCTGGCCAAATAGTTGAAACACGAATTATATCCGCGACTTTTGATTTTCCGCGGTAGTCCCAGTCCTAATCTTCGCGGATAATCGAGACTCCACTTTACATGGTTTTGAAGTTCAATCGGACGCATTTCTGTCAAACGGAACTATGTGCATTGAGACATGAGCCCTGAGACCCATAAGAATATGTGCATAACAGGGCTCACGTCATAATGCACATAGTTCCGTTTGATAGAAATACGTCCAATTATCATCCATAAACGATCCCAGTGTTCGACCAGTGCTCCGAGGTAAAAAATGTCGCGTTTGCGTTCAGCTTTTTGGATGGCGACAATTCCTCGAATTTTATCGTAAAATAGTTTTTGTATTTTGTTTGTATTTCGCGATAAAATCTAATTTTCATTTCACGTTTTCCAGTTGAGTGTATTCGGAGGTACGGCCTGGCGGTGGAACGAAAAACGACAACAATTCTACTACGGAGGATTCTCGCCGGGACAACCAGAATTGAACTTGCGAGACCCAAACGTTTTAGACGCCCTGAAGGTAGGCAAAACGAGTAAAGAGGGTATATGTAAAATACTAAAGGGTCTCCTTCAACCGATATCCTCACCTAACGCGATACCGAAAATATTTCTAGAATACTTTAATAATATTCCGATAATTTTTACAGAACACTAGAAAAAAAAAAAAAAAAAAAAAACACATTGGATCTAGAGTCCAAACTCTTGAAAACATTGACAAGAAAAAGGACTCTTGATTCAATCAGATGTAAGCTTAAATCAAAAGGAAATCCGCTCAAATTAAGAGGCTTGCTTCTTGATTTAAGCTTAAATCTGATTGAATCAAGAGTATTTTTTCTTGTCGATGTTTTTAAGAGTCTGGACTCTAGATCCAATGTGTTTTTTTTTTTCCCAGTGAATATATAAAATATATTGTGAAATTGCTTTTATGCATATTAAATTCAATAGGTAATGATTTTATTGTTACTTCACGTCTAGCCTTAAATATCTTCATCGAATTTTTTCTTACGTATGGAATCCCTTGTGGGTATACTGAGAAAGTCACAAATGAAAACGAATCTTAGCTATTGTGCAAAGCTCATAGTAGATTCAAGGCTTTATCTAATTTTTTAGTTAAAGTTAGTTGGAATGTTAATTTTGTGGTGGCAAATAGTTCGTTTCAGTTAACAAATGCTGCATTGTCAGGTACCGCGGGAGAAGAATAATTGCTCTCACAAAAGTAACCGAAAAAGAGGAGACAAAAGATAGGATCTTGGACCGTGGACCCACTGTGATCATTGTGAGAGCAATAATTATTTTTTTCTTCGCGAAACAACTCGATTTTCAGAAAATGTTAGTCACGACAATTTTGCACTTAGTTAAACTAAATCACTAATGATACCTACATATCGACAGCCACATGAAAAAAATGCGTATACCTTACCATTGTAACGTTAAAAATCTCCGATTGTGTTTCACCTCATTCAATGAAAATAAAAGTACGAAATCATCAAAATGTTTTCTCGCAATTTTATGTACTTTCTTCAGAACGGGTGAAGAATACTCACAAAAATATCAATACAAATTATCAGCTGCGTACGTTTTCTCTACGGAAATAAAACGTCCCTGGTAAAAATTGGCGATAGGAGCTGCGTTTCTAAATACCATAGGAGCTCTTATAGCCGACTGAAGAAGGCGATAGAAAATCATATAGCTGGCTATAGAAAGTGGAAAAAATCATACGGCCGGGCTACACGAAGCGATAAAAAATTATACAGCCGGGCTATAGTTCCTATCGCCGGGCTCTACACTTTATCGCCTGGCTGTTGCTTTTTCGCCATCAGCTATAAAAGGCTATAAGAAATTGTGCAGAAATTCGTGTGCTTTGTAAATCCTTAAGTTTGTACGAAATCACCTTGATATTTACAAAACACACATTATATTTTCCTTTACTACATATTTTTTTTTCATCAATTAAAATGAGAATAATCCATACAGAGTGTGCAAACATTTCAAAGTCATGAGTTGAAAAACGCTGACTCCACGAGATTAAATATTAGAGCCTAACACAAAGCGGAGCGGCGGCGCACTGGCGCCTACAAACCTAACAGGGATACCTCACGCATTGCGCAATGCGTGAGGTATCCCTGTTAGGTTTGAAGGCGCCAATGCGCGTTTCGCGCTGGTTGCCCGCCCGTCGGGCGCCGCCGCAGCGTATCATGGCGCTTGAAGCAACTATTTCACACCAGAGGTATTGCACAGTATCGTACGAAATTGAAGGCGCTCCAACATGTTAGGAATGGCAGGCATCCTTCAAAAGTACGGAGCTTTCCTCGCAAAATAAATCAAGATACTACTGCCCAAAAAGAGAACGGTAGTCCAAAAACTCACTAAGTCCTAGCATCCGTAATTAGTAACGTTTAGCATACACTTTATCGCCAGGCTGTTGCCTAGTCGCCATCGGCTATAAAAGGCTATAAAAAATTGTGTCGCCGGCTATAGAAGCTATTGGAAATCTTACAGCCGGCTGTAGGTCTATGGTATTTTGGAACACAGATTCTACTGCCAATTTTTACCAGGGGTGAGCGGTGACTTACAAAGTTGCAATCCGATCTACACTTTTTCGACTTTTCTGCTTGGGCATCGATGTGATGATTACAGCGTAGAATCCTGTTGAGTTCCTCGTCGTATTATGATGATTTTCTTTGTTAACGCAGGACGTTATCCGGTTCTGGTTAGATTTTGGAGTCGATGGATTCCGAGTGGATGCCGTCCCGTTTTTTTATGAGGACGAACAGCTCCGAGACAACCCGTGGGTCTCTCCGAGTAAGGAGAATTCGACGGATTTCAACGATCAGAATCGCATCTACAACTTCAAACATCCAGATAATCACCAGCTTATCCACCAATGGCGCTTGCTCATGGACGAGTATAGTGCGAGAGATAACAAACAAAGGTAAGAAAAGGCATGCCTCGGAACGCATCGAAAGGATAAAAAAAACGTATCTTCACAGAAAAGAAAATTCGGTCATACGAACCAAACGTTCGGTGTTCCGCAGCATCCCAAATATTCGGTTTGTCAAACTGAACTTTCGATTTGTCAAACTGAACTTCCGGTTTGTCAAACGGGACTTTAGCTTTATTTAAACTTCCGAGCCAATCCGGCATATGATAGTTTAAGCCCCTAGCAGGTCGGCCCAGACCGAGACTAAACCCCTGCGTGGGTGTGGCCGAGATGGGCTGCTGTGCATTTGGGGCTTAAATTGTCATATGTTTGCCCGCAAATTCGCCACTTTTTACCTCACGGTTACACACCCAGAAAAAAAAACAAAAAAAAAACGGAGCTTTAGTTTTGTCAAACGGAACTTTTGGTTCGTGTAACCCTGCGTTTGGTCTATGACCAAACTTAGTTTGTCAGTTCGCTTTACCGCACAAGTTCGGTTTGACAAACCGAATTAGTTGAGATGATACGGAACACACGAACTTTGATACATACGACCGGTTTTTTTGTTTTTTCACTGTAGACACGCGAAAGTAGGATGAACAAATTAACGAACAGGAAGAGGGGAGTCAAGACTAAGAGCCTTTCAAGTCCAAAAGACGTCCATGAATGTACCGAGAGCCCCAAGTTTTAGCCTTTGAGTCATAGTTTTGCTTGGGAAATGATTGCGCCACTCCCGATGAGCGTATTTTTAAAACTGCTGAAAGGTAGGTAATAAGATGGGCTTGCAGGAAAAGGCGCATAAGTGCAGTTTTTGAAAAAGTTGAGATACTAATGATTTTAAGTAAAACTAGTCTTAATGAATATGCTGTGAATATTTCGCTCCCAAATTCAAATTATTAAGCGTCAAAAAGACAGTTTGAACTTTCTTTTCACCATAAAGATCCATGTAGTTTCGAAACTTCAAACACGTATTTCTCGAAACAGCAAAAACTGCACTTATGCACCTTGTCCTCCAAGCCCCTTATATGTAGTTAGATTAACGACGAGACCTGCATTGAGCAGAGCGGCTCTATCTTCAGAGGTAGTTTTGAAACAAAAAATGAATTCACAAGATTATCTTTTTCCACGGCTCCGATATCTTTTGCAATTCCGTTTAGATAAACTTTAAATAAATATTTTAATTTTTCTATCTAAAGGCTGATGACGATAGAGGCGTACGAGACGCCTGAGGAACTTCAACAATACTTCGGGAATGCGACTTATAAAATGTCCCACTTTCCCCTTTACTTTGGACTGGTCACCATAAATTCTACGTCTGACGTCACATTTTTGGATGAAATTATTCATGATTTCATTGACAAGATGCCACCGCATGGTATCCCGAGTTGGGTGGTGAGTAATGCAAATTAACACATTACAAACAATATTAATTAATTATAGTTACACGGAAAGAAATTAAATGTTGATTTAGCATTTATACTGTTAAAAAGATGTCCGACAAGTTTCAAATGCTGATTTTACATTTTAACAAATGCTAACGTAACCACGTCCACCGTAAAACGTACAAATTAAAATGTTATTTTAGCATTTATGTATTGTAAAATCAGCTTTGAAACTTGTCGGACATCTTTTTAACAGTATAAATACTAAATCAACATTTAATTTTTTCGGTGTACTACAAATTGATCGAGTTATTCGAATGTAATTCTGTTTGCCCCCTTAAATTCTTCTTTGAATTGAATTAGAAGTTCATAAGATTTGATAGGGAATATTATGGCTTAGTGTGTGGCTAGCGGCCTTAGCTTTATTGTCAATTATTTTAATGGGGAACAAAATACCCTGATAGCATTTTGAAACAAAAATAGTGAATTAAACTTGCCATCTTTTGCAACAAAATTTTTTTAGATCAAAAAAATTAATGCGCAAAACAATTGCTGATGATTCCAATTTAATTTCAATCAAGGAAGCCCCTTCAATTAGCAGATAGGCAACATGCACAACACTCCGATCAGTTGCGACTTGCGATAATTTTACCATGCAATTTGCTTTCACGTGACCTTCTAGATGCTAATACGTAGAGAAGAGGATTACTGCTTTTAAAATAATCATAAGCAATGTATTCTGGGATTTCCGGGTATGTTACACCTGCTTTTCTGTTTTTGCAACAATTTAATTTTTATGGCAGCAATTACTTCGATTCCAGTAAAAACACAGATGCTGGGACTGAAATGATTGTCACCATGTTGTGACAAAGACAAGAAAAAGAGATAGGATCTAGATTCTTTGGTGAACACTGTAAGAGCAACGACTATTTTTTCTACGTTAGTCTAAAGTATAATTTTTTTTTATTTTCTATTCATGGTAAAAAACTTCGAGTTGCAAAGAGCGATAATCCAATGGTTTCCGTTCGAATTTCATCCATGCTGCTTATTTTCTTTCACTTTTTTACTTCTCAAATGTTCAAACAGACGTATGTATTCCTTTTGAAGAAAACCTTAAGTTAAGTTTTAACATGACCTCCTCCTCCTCCTCCTTTCAACTGCCTTACGTCATTTCGTCGCTCCTCTGACGTAAGGGCGTATCTCAATTTCCGCACATGAGCCCTGTTATCCGCAGGGGCGGACTGGCCATGGGGGCGGGGAGGCGATCCCCTCCTAACAATTTGCCGCGGATGTCCCGAAGGGGCCCCCGCGGCGAAAATTTTTCAGGTCATCGTTTTTTTTCTCGTAATGTTGTAATTTTTCTATCCTTCTCAGTCACGAAAAGGTCCCGAAATCCTTGAAAATTTGTCTCTGAGAAACACGAAAGGTCACCTAAAGCTTATGTGATGAGGGGGCCACCGAAGAATCCTGAGAATGGGTTATTTTGAAGTTCAAGTACTTTAGAATTTAACTCAGATAATGCTTAAAATTGAAAATAAAAAGTGTTAAATTTTCAAAATTTTCCGGGGAAGGGCCCCCTGACCTTCTTAGAGGGACCCCCGAACGACAGGAGGGGCCCCCAAATCTAGGTCGCCTCCTAACTTTTCGACTACCAGTCCGCCCCTGGTTATCCGTATAACTCTATGCTTTCTGCGGCTCATGTCAAAATAGAGATCTGCCCTTACCAGTGGCGTGGCGTGCTTTGCGATACATCGATCGATACGCCACTTAAACCTATGAAAAAAGATCGATCATTAGGGTGTTCGCAGCGGACACCTTAGTAATCGATTCTTTACCATAGCTTCAAATGGCGAGATATCGATAATCGATAATTCATGCCAAGCCACTGGCCCTTACGTCAGAGGAGCCACGATTCATGGACGGTCCCGATCCAGCTCGAAGGAGGCAACACTAAAATTGACTGCTTCCCTATTTTCCAGGCAAGCAACCACGACAATTCGCGTCTTGCGAGTAGGGTGGATTCGGAGTTCGCAGAGGCTATGCTCATGGTTCAGTTGCTGCTGCCCGGGGTAGGCGGAATCTACTACGGAGAGGAGATCCGCATGCGGGATATCTACGTTCGCCCCGATCAAAAGAAAGATTTAACTTTTACGAACCATCCTGCCTGGGGCCACCTCACCCGTGACCTATGCAGAGGGCCCATGCAGTGGGATCAGTCCATTAATGCAGGTCCGCTTTTCAATTTTTTATAACATATGATAAGTATTGTTCTATGCATATAAAATGTTATAAACGAGAAAAAAACACTAAAAAGTGGCTCGAAACTGTGTGTAACACGGCGGAGAAATGGTGCTGGGTCCACGCCATTTCGCGGGGAAATAAAAGCCGAGAAATTCCAAAAATTACATTTAGAGTCAAAATATTTTTAACTCGCTAATTGTAATTCTTGGGATTTCTCGGATTTGATTTCCTCGCGAAATGGTGTGGACCCAGCACCATTTCTCCACCTTGTTAAAATATTACAATAAAGTCAATTTTATATAATAACTAGGCAGCGGATTGGAGTTGGAATAATTTTGATCAACTCCTCACTACAATTGCTAAACATGTACCAAGTTTAAAGGAAATCGCTTCGGCCAATTTTTCTCTAGGTGGGGCAGAGTGAGCCGGTGAGGCAGCTTCATATAGAGCAACAAACAGCTTTTTTTCTTTAGTTATGCTTACATTTATCCTATTTTATATATTCAACTTAGGATATTTATGCAGGTTTATTCTAATCTTAGGATTAATAGTTAAAATGGGGATATTTCCTTTCCATTTTTGGTTTATTTTAATCTGAGGAAAACTTGAATGAATTAGATTGATTAGATAGAATAAACAAGTCAGCGATGAATGATCGAAACACGATTCAGTGCACACATATGCATTTGATCCATTCGCAAAAAGCGTTCATAAACATGTTATTATCCTTTCCACTGCAGGATTTTCAACGAGTAAAACCCCGTGGCTGCCTGTAAATGCAGATTATTGGCGAAACAACGTAGTGAACCAACTTGCGGACCCTAGGAGCACGCTGAACACTGTTAAACGACTTTTGAGATTGAAAAAGTCACCTGTAATCGAATCTGGCAAGTTGAAAACGTGCAAAGTGTCAAAATGGCTGTACATGTTTACTAGGTAGGTGGCCTCTCTTCTATGTATCTTATTGTTCTTTTGCGACACGACGCGCGACGGTAAAAACCAGAGGAACTGTACTCTAGAATACCTGTAAGGTGGGGTCGGGTAACTGGGCGGAGGGGTAACTGGGCAGTACCCTCTGTATTTCTACCATATATCAGTGCAAAAATTGTTTTCACTGTTGGTATACCTTCATTATGACGTAAACCATCTAGAACATGTAAAGATAATCCCAAAAAAAAATTTTACGGTGAATGGTGAAGTGCCGAAAATTGGACAGCTTTTTTTTCAAAACAACGCCGGAGGTGGTCCCGAAAAGAGCCTCATATCTCACTCCCAGCAAGTATTTTATTCAACTTTGACAATTCTTCTTCATGTATGATGTATTTGTGTAATGCGTGAGTAATTACAACGTAATTGGATGAAA